TAACTGAAAAATGCTGCTATAATCATTCATGTACAGGCTTTTGTATAGAGCACACTTTTACAATATTCTTATAAATACCCAGGAGTGTGATTGTTTGTTCAGACTATATTTACCATTGTGAAAACCTGCCAGACTATCTTCCTAAGCAGCTATATTACTCTGCATTCCATTAGCAAGGGATGAAAGTTTCTGTTATTTGCATTCTCACCAGTAAGTTTTAATTGTACCTACCCAAATAGGTGTGTCCTGATTTCTCCTGGCTGTTTTAATTTGCAGTTTTCTAGTTATAAATAATGTTGAGCATCTTTTCATATGTGTATTTGTAATCTGTCTTGATTACTGTAACTTTATAATTAGTCAGTGAAATTGGTTACTGTGAGTCCATGAACTTTATTCCTCTTCTTCAGTATTGTGTTGGTTATTTTAGATCTTATCACTTTACATGTAAACCAGTTTGTAAACATCTGCAAATAGTTTGCTGATATTTTGATTATATTTATATTGGATCCATAGATAAATTTAGGAATAATTGACAACCTATCAATATTGAGTCTTTCAATCAATGAACATAGATTATCTCTTCATTATTTGAGATATTTTTCATTTCCTATATGAGAGTTTTGCACTTTTCCACATTTTGTTAGATTTATATATGAAAATTAATTTTTTGTTAGTGCTTTTAAATGTGATTGTATTAAAGTAAAAATACCTTTGTTTATTGAATTAGTTGTTTTATTGTTGACACTATTACAGATGTCCCCATATCCACCTCTGCCCAGCCTCCAGCCCTTGCCCCCATCCCCTGGCCTTCACTACACTGTTTTCTGTGTCTATGGGCTAGACTAGACACACATGTTCTTTGACTAATCTCTTCACCTTCTTTTATCCATTCCTCTATCCTCTCCCCTCTGACAGCTGACAGTCTCTTCCATGTATTCATGCCTCTGTTTGTATTTTGTTTGTCAGTTTATTTTGTTTATTATATTCCACATATTAGTGAGATCATGTGGTATATAAAAATAAGGAACAATGATAATGGCAGCTAAAATGTATGTATATATATATATATATATATATATATATATATATATATATATATATGTGTGTGTATTTATGTGTATATGTATGTGCGTATGTATTTTGTTTCTTTCCACCAACTACTTTTGAGTTGAATAATTAAAACATTTTGTAAGTGAAATAGTTTAATTTATATCACACCTAACTCCCAAAACAAAAGTAGGAGTAATTTCATAAGAACTTTGACTCTAGCAACAAAAACAGGAAGGCAAGGATAAAAACTATTTTGACTTAGAAACCAGATTTTATTTTTTTCCAATGATGATTATTTTTCCTTCTGCTGACAAGAAAAAAAAGTGCTTGGTTTGAACATTAAAGAGCATAATTTATTTATAGCCAGACTGGCTTGAAATTCTTCATTTTAAATCCCTGCTGAACTTTAGAGAAACCTTGAAAAACCCAATTACATTTATGCTATGCTTTTACCACAGCCTTCAGAGTACAGAATTCTAATGCTTAGGGAAAAGCAGCTGGTACTAAAAATCTACAAGACCATATGAAAGTCTCAAAAAAGAGCTGTCCCCTAAGCTTTGATTGCCAAAAATATCGACAGTATTCCTTTCCTTGGGAGGAAATATTGGGTGGCATTCGAAGGAAAATGATTGTTGATTGCCCCACGTGAAATAAGTCCATATTGGGAGAACTTATTAGTGGCTTTTTAAAAATCCACTAGTGGGATGTCAATATATTGGAGTACTTTTTTAAGAATTAATTTTCAAATCACTAATCAAAGTAACAATAGAGTAGACAAAATAGTCTCTGAACAGTTATTTTTTTTAATAGAGAGCATTTTCTAAAAGATAGTTTAGCAGATATAAGTACATATGGATATTGCGTGTCTATTTTAAGATTTCTTTTATTTTTCATTGATTTTATTGCGGTGACACTGATTAAACAATTAAATAGGTTTCAGGTACACAGTTCTACAACACATTACCTGTACACTGTATTGTGTATGCACTACCCCAAGTCAAGTCTCCATCCATCTTTTTCCCTCTAAACCCTCCTCCCCATCCTTTCATCACTCCTCCCCCCGGCAATCATTGCACTGTTGTCCCAACCCACCCAGAAAGCTGTCAGCCTGCCTCCTTATCTATGAGTCTGTCTCTATTTTGCTGATTAGTTCATTTTGTTAATTATATTCCACATACAAGTTAAGTTATATGGTACTTGTCTTTCTCTGACTGGCTTATTTCACTGAGCATAATGCTCTCTAGGTCTATCTATGCTGTTGCAAAGGTAAGATTTCCTTCTCTCTTTCCTTCTATTTTACTTTTAACTAAATTTAGAGAATGTAGAAAAAATACATTCCTAGTTAATAAAGACATGTAATTGTTGTGAGATCTTCTAAGGAACATAGCTAATCACAGAAGACGATGTCCTTCTGCATTCGTTATTTCCTGGAAACTTTAAAGAATTATTTATATTTATTTATTTATTTATTTATTTATTTATTTATTTATTTATTTATTTATAAAATATATTTTATTGATTTTTTACAGAGAGGAAGGGAGAGAGATAGAGAGTTAGAAACATTGATGGGAGAGAAACATCGATCAGCCGCCTCCTGCACACCCCCTACTGGGGATGTGCCCGAAACCCAGGTACATGCTTGACCGGAATCGAACCTGGGACCTTTCAGTCCGCAGGCCGACGCTCCATCCACTGAGCCAAACTGGTTTCGGCGATATATTTATTTTTTTGCTAGAGAAAATAGACAAGGCCTGTAACTAGGATAGTAAAAAAAATAAGGTATAAATAAATCACAATATTTTTAAAGAAAACGTATTTCCTAGCAGAAAACTTGGATATGGATATAGAATATAACTCTAGCATTTTTAAAAATTATAATTTTTACATCAGGTTAAAAATTTGTCTTGAAAACTTCCAGTCTTAGATTATTTTTTAGAAAGTCTTCGGTATTTTCTATCACTGCAGACATAAACAACCTCATTAAAATACAAGATAATAAAACATATTTCGATTATGCAAGTAACTAATGTTTCATAGTAGGAGAACATATAAATAATTTTAAGAAAGTGGAGTTTATTGCTCACAACAACATCTTAATTTTTATATTCACAAGTATAAGTAAAGTTTTACTTATATACAAAGAATTGATTTTAACCATTATGTTTATTCCATGTAATCCTCACACTTAAAAAAGCTCAAATTAACCTTGGGTAAAAGCTTTTCTTTAAAATTGATAATCATTGTTTTTTAAGTGATTTGTCAAGTGATTTTATTTTCCTCGCATAAACATTTTTTTTTTTTTTTACAACTTGCAAGTACCAGGCACTGAGTAATTAATGTGTTCCCAACATATAAGTGAACATAAATCCATTCCTCATGTAACTCATAATATCATACGAAAGACAAGTTGCCCATCAAGATAATTAAAACAAAATGAGGCAAGTAAAGTCAGAGATATAGTCAAAGAGTATTGGGAAATGTTCTTAAGGAGAAAGAAACAAAAGTCAGAGGATAGCAGATTAAGAATTTAGTAGAAGATTATCACACAGCTATATCTTAAGAAGAGACTAGAATTTTGCTGGGAAATGCATGAAACTGGTAAAGTACGAAAAATTAAATTTAAGAACCTGGAAAACAAAGAGAACTATAGGGTGTCTAAGGCTGAATATAGTGAAGTGTTCAACAGAATTGTTAGAGACGAAACAGTTATGTTGGTAGGAAAGAGTTTGGCAGAACCTCTAATGCTTTTTTGGGAACTTAGAATTTTAAGCAGAATAAAAAATTGAAGATTTAATATTTACTTCCCTCCACTTTAATTACTGTAATAATTATGGATTTGAATAAAGATTTATACTAGCTATGGTCTTGCATATCTCACAAGAGGTTTCTGGTATGTTCTGTGTAGCAGAGTTTTAAATTTAAAAATTAAACTTCTCTTCAGATATTCTTTCTTAGGTGATTTTGGTTCTATTTCATTTGGTTTCATATAACACTTAAATTAGGACTAGTTCCGGTGCTATAGTTGGAAAATACATGAGAACCATCCATTAGGGCTGGAGCAGGGACATTACCACATTTTCCTCTTGATTCCAAGATTATAACTAATGGGGCATGACTGACAGGTCAGTAGTTAGGTTAGCAGCTTTCTGACCAATGGAGAAGCATGGCCTTTGGTGGGCTAGTTCTGTTGATATAATGTTATTTAAAGTTCATTCCTAAAAACATACCTATTCCTCTATACTTTTGTTATTATTATAAATACAGGATTGCCCATAGTAAACAAGTATAGTTTGGTATAAAATAGCTAGAGAGTTGTGTTATCTATATGTTATCCTGAACGATATATCCAGGCTAGATTTTTCTTTAAACACACATCACAATTTAATTTGGGGCAGCAATGTACCCAACTATTAAACTAAGTCATTGGCCTATATTGCAATTTTGGTGGTTCTGTGATACAATATGAGCCAATTAAGCACAAGCACATCTACTGGAAAATTCTGCTAGTTTTGTAGCCCTAATATGCCCACCTCCTAGTGCCCTTTGCATTTTAGTTTTATAACCTCTTTTACTAAACAAGATTTGTCTAAATGGTTGAATCTATAACACCATCATATGACCCCACATGGCTAAGAGAAATACAGAAATCTTGGTACTGTCAGCTTTGGGCTTTTGAATCAATGCACTGATGTTGTCTTTCTGGATATTAGGCCATTAGGTGGGGGAGCCATTTTCAAGTTACTGTCAGATATTTTGTCAATTATAGTTTATAACAAGCATAATCTTTAATGGATATGAGATTGATATATATTGATATATATAATTGATATATATTGATATATATTGATTGATATATATTGATATATATAATTGATATATATTGATATATATTGATATATATATAATTATATATATATATATAATTGATATAACATTGATATATATTTTTCTTCACAGCTTGAACTGAACACAATATTGCCCGGTTTAAAAAAAACAAAACGAAACCAAAACCCAAACACTCCGAAATGTCCACAGCTTCACGCCTACCTGCCCTTTCCCTCAGCTCTTGGCCGGGTCTCCCGCTATGCCCCGTCCCTCCCGTCCGGTCCCCCCGAGGCTGGGTGTCAGGGGTGGATGAGAAGATTCTCAAAGCTGGGCAGGCCCCAGAAAAAGCCACGTGATCGACCTGGGGGCAGGGGCAGATGAAACGAACAGAAAAAGGGAAAACAAACAAAAACAACCCAGACGACCTAACTGCCCACATTGACTTACTTGTCCCAGAGGTGAAAGTCAGAAGCAAGGTCACGGATCATGCTCTCCGCTGAGGGCGTGTGGGGGCAGGCGGGTGGACAGGGGAGGCAGGAAAGGGCAGAGGCAGTGCAGATGTGAGGGAGCAGCCGCGTCACCACGGAGAAGCGGGAGGGGCCGCGGACCAGGAAGCAGAGCCCTTGCTGGGCTGCTGGTCCTCCCGGCAGCTGGCCCACGGGTTTGTTTATTGCAGGTATTTTTTCTCGAGAGTGTGGTGGGGTGCATCTTCCCTCTCCCCACCCTTCAGCTAGCCCGGCATGGTCTCATGCATAAGTCTTAGAAGCAAGCAACAGAAGCTGACTTTGTGTGAATAAGAAAATATTTGTTCATTTGGATCATTGTGTGAGTGATAGAAAACAATATTAATGAACTGTGTCTAAAAACACATTAAAATGACACAAGGTGACACTATTGCTGTTGTACAACTGTCCCACCTGAAACTAGTTCCTTGTCAAGAATTCAGTCTTAAAATCAGCCGAATATCAAATGGTCACTCTGCAACTATGAAGATCTGATGATTTGACCATTACTGAAAACAAGTGTCACAGAGCCTCTATCACCTTACTTGTTTCCAAGCTCATAAAAACAGAGCAGCCTGGCCAGTGTTTCTCAGTGGTTGAGCATCAACTCAGGAACCAGGAGGTCACTGGTTTGATTCCTGGTCAGGGCACATGGGATGGGTTTCAGGTCCAATCCCTGGTTGGGGGTGAGCAGGAAGGAGCTGATCAATTATTCTTTCTCATCATTGTTGTTTCTACCTACCTCCTTCTCCCTCTCTCTTCCTATGTGAAATCAATAAAAATGTTTTTAATATAAATAAATACATAAATAAATAAATAATAACAGAGAGGAGGGCAATGTTTATTGGGGACTGAGGAGTGGGCAAAATGAGGACATGTTCAAATTACACAAACTTTCATTTACAAAATGAAAAAGTTCTAGAAACCTAACTTACAGCATGGTTACTATAGTTAATATATTGTGTACTTGCAATGTGCTGTGATAGTAGACTTCGAGTATTCTTACAAAAAATGTAACTGTGAAGTGATAGATATGTCAATTAGCTTGATTGTGGTAATAGTCAGTTAACAATGTTTATATATGTACATATATATGAACATTACCATACATCAGCGGTTCTTAACCTGTGGGTCGCAACACCTTCGGGGGTCGAACGACCCTTTCACAGGGGTTGCCTAAGACCATCAGACAACAATTATATAATTACATATTGTTTTTGTGATTAATCACTATGCTTTAATTATGTTCAATTTGTAACAATGAAATTGGAGGTCACCACAACATGAGGAACTGTATTAAAGGGTCGCAGCATTAGGAAGGTTGAGAACCACTGCCATACATCTATAAATGTATGTATATATTTATACATAAATTTAAATCTTAAATATATACATTTTTTTTAATTTTGCCTCAATAAAACTGGGAAGGTGAAGGAAAAAGCATTTTCTAACCTCAAAATTATATAATTAATATTAATATGGTATGATATTTAAAAATTCAAAAATATGTATATGTTTAAAGCAACAGTAATACTAGTTAAGTACAAAAACATATATAACAGATATAACAAGATGTAAGTCATTAATGAAAAGATTCATACCAATTTAGAGAGATTTACTGTATCTGTTTATTTGGAACTGACCCATATTTTTGATTATTCATTTTGCCCCAGGCATTGCTTAGAAATTGTGATACAGACAGAAAATCAATGAGAATCCCTTCCTTTTTGTACCTCACAGTTCAGTGGTGAGAGGGACAATAAACCAAATTCTTACAAATATATCTATATGTTTATGTCTATATCTACATATCAGGTGACGAGAGAGGCCTAGTAAATGAAAATAGGAAGGAAAGTGGAATACTATGCAACAGTTTGTTGGCATGAAAAACGGGGTAGATGGTGCTTCTATTTACTGGGAGGTGTGTTCTGGGTTGGGCAGGGATGGAAGAATAAGGATCAGGAGGCTGGTGTTGGATACTTAAGGTAAAATATTAAAATTGTAAAGCAAGGGAAAGTGTTTGCAATTTTATTTAATTTTCAACCTCTGATTTCTTATCCACAACAGTTTCACTGTTCAAATTATGTAAGTGATTATGGGACTTCTGCTTGAGAATGAACCATTTTATATCTTGTACTAAAGGCCTGGTGCATGGATTTGTGCACATTGAAAGGAAATTAATTAGAAATATTTTAGAGGTCGGGGAGAAACTGCGGGAGGACTCCAGGGCTTGTCCAGCCGGTCTCGCCCAGTCCCGATTGGCCAGATCCCAGCAGCAAGCTAACCTACCGGTTAGAGTGTCTGCCCCCTGGTGGTCAGTGCACATCATAGAGACAGGTCGAACGAATGGTTGGCATTTTAGGCTTTTATTATATAGGATTTCCTCCGTATACGTTATTGTTTATTTTTTAAAGGATGGAATGCCAACCACGGCATTTTGTTTTATTCATTTATTAATTTTAATTGTATTTTTTTTTTAGAGAGAGGGAAAGGGAGGGCGAGAAAGTGAGAAAGATTAATATGAGAGAGAAACATCAATTGTTTGTCTCCTGCATGCTGCCTACTGGGGATCACACCAGTCATGCTACCTGACCAGGAATCAAACTGGCAACCTACCTGTGAACAGAATGACACCCAACCAACAAGGGCCACAACAGCCAGAACTTATGTGACTTTTAAAGCACATACCCAACATACACACACACATATACTAGGTGTACCGGTTAATAATAACGGATTTTATAATCAAAGAAAACACAATAATTTCATGAGAAACATGAAACATAAAAGTGCTTTATTCAAAGTAATGTCCGTCATTAGCTACACATTTCCCCCATCTTTCAGGTAATTTGTGGATACTGTCCCAATAGAACTTTTCTTGTTTTGAGGCAAACCATTCAGAGACCCAATTGTCCACTTCTTCCTGTGTTTTGAAGAGCTGCTCAGAAAGTGCATGTGCCATTCATCAGAATAAATGGTAATCTGAAGGAGCGAGATCTGGTGAATACTTCCCAGGCAAGATCTTTTAATGTGTCTTTAACTGTTTTTGAAATGTGTGATGGTGCATCATCATGAAGCAAAATTACTTTGCCGTGTCTTCTGGCCCATTCTGGTCATGGTTCAAATTGATTATTTGTTGCTGGTAGCGATCAATATTAATAGTTTCACCTGGTTGTTTTTGAGTTTGACACGCATCTTCATCCAATAATGCTTGTAATTGTTTATCTTCAAACTTTTTCAGTTGACCTGGACGTTCTTTGTCTTCCACATCAAAGTCAACACTTTTAAAGCATTTAAACCAGTGCTCACAAGTATTTTGAGATGGAGCATGTTCACCATAAGCTTCCCAAAGTATATGATAACTTTTTCTTCAAAATAAAATAATGAACTAAAACTTCTTGCAAATGCTCTTTTTTTGGCACAAAATTCAACATTTTTAAGCATAAAAATATCTATCATGTTAACACCTTCAGAAAATTTGACATATGAAGTTTTGAAGCTTTCTGTCAATACAACAAAATAGCATACATATCAAATCACATATATACCAACATATATGTAACTCCATCTATTGAAAACAATCCACATTATTAACTGGTACACCTAGTACATACACATTTTTTAAAAATATTTTATTGATTTTTTACAGAGAGGAAGGGAGAGGGATAGAGAGTTAGAATTATCGATGAGAGAGAAACATCGATCAGCCACCTCCTGCACACCCCCAACTGGGGATGTGCCCGCAACCAAGGTACATGCCCTTGACTGGAATTGAACCCGGGACCTTTCAGTCCACAGGCCAATGCTCTATCCACTGAGCCAAACCGGTCAGGGCTACACATTTTGTTTTTACCTACTTATTATCCAAACCTGAGCCACATTTTCTTATGTTGCTATCCTTTGAAAGTATTATCTTTATTTAAATGTACTTCATTCCTTCTCATAAAATTTGCATCATTTAAGTTCTTAGACAATTATAAGTACTTTATCAATATAAATTTAATCAAGTATCTTTCCTAGACTTTATTATTATTTTTTTTTTTTAGTTTGTTGGGTGATCTATTTATTGTTTGAGGATGACCCATTTAAAAAGCAGCTGCAAAGAGCCTGATATTTTTGTAAGAGATAATTAAATCAAGAAAACTTTAAAGGTGTAATTTTGAACTTCATTTTAATTGCTTAGTGTATGTTGCAGTTCCCATAAAGTTCTAAATTCTGGACTTAATTTGATTCATAACAAAAAGATTATCTTAAATTGCAAAGATATTTATTTTTTCCTAATTGTATTTTTCTGTTTTCCTTTTCCTACCTTATCAAAGTAGATTGAGATTATCACAACTTCTCTAAAATTGATGCTTATAAAAATGATAAAATATAAATCACCTTTCCAGTGCAGAAAACAAATAGGATTACAAAATAAATATAGAATGTAACCCATATATTATTATAAATTATTTGTTGTTTAATTTAGATTCAAACTTAGCTGAGTATTGTTGTTTTTTCTAAATCTCGAAAATATCATATCAACCAATACAAACATAAGTGAAGCTTTGATATATAACCAATATAAAATTTGGTCACCAGTACAAAGTGTACAGCCATAAAGTATAATTTACATTTTTTCTTAAAAATCACATCCCAAATAGCTACTGATCATGTACCATGTTTCATTTTCTCAATACATTTAATATAACATTGCTTTCAAACAGGTCCCATTACTTGATCTAGAAAACAGGATGAAAAAAAAAAAACCCTCCTGTGTGAACATTAAACCCTGTTATGGTTTGTATTTTGTCCTCCAATAAGGAAATGTTGTAGTCTTAAATCCCAGTATCTCAAAATGTGACCTTATTTGGGAATAGAATCATTACTGAGGTAATTAAGTTAAAAAAAAACAGTGGCCTTTTATCCAATATTAGTGGCCTGGTGCACAAAATTCATGCACTCAGGGAGTGGCTGGGGGGGGAGTCCCCCAGCCTGGCCTATGCCCTGTCACAGTGCGGGAGTTCCGCAATCCATCACCCCAAAGAGGTAGGCCCCGTTCACCCATCCGGGGCTCCTCAATGGATTGCCCCAAAGAGGTAGGCTGGAGTCAGGGGAGGCCTGCAGACCCCTGGGCCAGGCCGCGGTGGAGGCCTGTGGACTCCCAGCGCAGGAGCACGGAGGCCCCCGCCACAGCCCCACTCCTGGGCCGGGCCCGTGGCAGAGGGGCCTCTCTGTGCACCTGCGGAGCCCTGGCCGGGGCCAGGCCCATGGCGGAGGGGCCTCTCCATGCACCTGGGGACCCCTGGCTGGGGCCAGGCCCATGGCGGAGGGGCCTCTCCATGCACCTGGGGACCCCTGGCTGGGGCCAGGCTCATGGCAGAGGCCTCTTCGTGCACCTGTAGAACCCCAGCATAGGCGCACAGAGAGGCCTCTCTGCCGTGACCCCACCCTTGTCCCCGATGCTGCAAGTCCCCGCCCACCTGCATCTGCTGTGCATGCAGCCTTCTGATCAGTCGCTACTGTGACAGTGTACCAACCAATTTGCATATTACCCCATTATTAGTATAGATAGCTAATGTTCTTTCTAAAGGGGAAACTTGGAAATTTGGACACTGGAAGAAATACTGGAAGAATACCATCTGAAGTTGGAGGCAAAGATTGAAACTATGCTGACATAAGCCAAGGGATGTTTGTGGCCACTAGAAGTTTGAAGAAGCAAAGAAGAAAACTTCCTCAATTAGTAGCAGAAGCATGGGCTTCCTGATGCTGTGGCTTTGGACTCTATTCTCCAGACCTGTGAGAAACTGAATTTCTGTTGTTTTAAGCTTCCCACTGGCTGGTACTTTATGGAAAATTAATAGCAAGCCCTACTCACATAGGTTACGTCTCCTAGACCAGTCCTAACATGTTCCAAGCATTTTACACAGGTGATTTTATATAATATTAAATCATAATAATCACAGTTCATATTTGCATAATTTGGTCAGATTATTTATACCTGGAAAGTTCTTCTGTAACATTTTTGCCTATTTTATTAAAAATCATTTAATGCTTGCATTATTTCAGTTATTTTTAAGCCTTTATAGGAAAATCAGGGTGATATCCTATACAAAAAAGCCTAATATGCTGTGTTCAGTTGTCCAGTCATCCATTCAACCAATCAAAGCATAATATGCTAATGATATGCTAAAGCTGCTCAACTGCTTGCTATGATGTGCATTGACCATCAGGGGCCAGACAGTCTACTGGTTGACCAGTCACCATGATGTGCACTAACCACCAGGAGGCAGACGCTCTGTCTTGTAGGTTAGCTTGCTGCTGGGGTCCGGCCCATTGGAACTGAGCAAGACGGGCCAGACAAACCCTGGAGCCCTCCCATGATCCCTCCAAGCTGGCCAACCTCCCGAGTCCCTCCCTGGCCCCGATTGTGCACTGGTGGTGTCCCTCAGCCTGGTTGGCACCCTCATACAATCTGGGACCCCTCTGGGGATATTGGAGAGCTGTTTTTGGCCCGATCCTGCAGGCCAGGGTGAGGGACCCCACTGGTGCACAAATTCGTGCACTGGACCTCTAGTTAATAATAAAACAAATGAACTAAAATTTTTTGGAATCATGAAGCTGTCATTAAAGTGGGCTCATCAAATCATAGTTGAAAAGACATTTAATATGAACAACATGGGAAGTAAAATAAGACATTTTATATTTTTGTAGTGCTTATATAGGGTGCCCCCCCCAAAAATATATATATATATATATGTATATATATACACACAAAAAAAATATTGGTAGATTCTATTACATTTTGAAAATGAAATATATTTTAATAAATACTGCCTTTGCCCAACCTGCTTGGCTCAGTGGTTGAGCATTGACCTATGAACCAGGAGGTCATGATTCTAGCCCCTGTCATGGAACATGTCCAGGTTGTAGGCTTGATCGCCAGGGCCAGTCGTGCAGGAGGCAGGAATCCAAATAAGGATCCTCTCTCATCATTAATCTTTCTATATCTCTTTTGTTCTCCCTTCCTCTCTGAAATCAATAAAAATATATTTATAAAAAATAAACATGTCCCTTATAATTATTCAAAATGTGTATATATTTTTGGAACACCATGTATATGTA